GGGGAATTCTGGGAGTTGAAGTCCACACATCTTAAAGTCGCCAAGGTTGAGAAACACTGCTATAAAGGAATCTAGAAATGACCTTGGGGAAGGAATAGGGGGGAAAAAACATTAGGGATGGACTTGTAGAGTCCAGAGATTAAAGCAAGCCTGAGAACCAAACTCAACATAACCCTGTTTTCATTTTGTTTAATATAAAAAGGACAAAGAGAGAAACGTAGACAGGCTTCGAAGGTTCTGTGATACCCTACCACAATAAAGCAGAGTTCCTGGAATCCCTAAAGTATTTTTTTCTTGACCTGGCCTACCTCAAAGGGCTGATGTCAATCTTGCAATGCACATAAGAAACAGGCAGAGCTTTAATTGCACCGCTGGGGCTGCCATCTTGACTTTTTTGACCACACCCTGCAGACACCCCTGCATGCAGCTAAGTGTAATCAGCCCTTCTAGGGTAGGGTTTTTAAAACGGTGTTCCGTGGAAGTCCATCAAGGGCTTGTGCGATCCCAGGGATCCGGGGGGGGGGGTTGCTCCATGGCCTGAAAAAGTTTGAAAACCCGTGTTCTAGGGTAAGCTTGGTTTTTCTGACCACATTCTCTTAAACCACAGTTTGATTACATGTGGTTTGTTGGCTAAGCCACAATAGGGCCAATTTGTGTTACCAGCAATTCCTTTGCTTCTAGTCATGTGGTTTACTATCAGCTTCATATAGTATTGTCACCGGTGTTTGTACTTCTTGTCTGTTTCCTGTTTACGATATATCTAAATAGATATATATATACCTACTGAGATACTGTGTCTTTCCTTGGTGGAGATCTTAAGGGTGAACTCAACACTTGCTTTATGAGAATAATAGCATGGCAGGCCAGTTAAATATTGTTTAACTGAAGAGCCATCTTTTCACCCAAACCTTCCCTGTGTAAATGACTGAGGCAATTTGGTTTCCGACCTTCTTCCTTTCTCCTTTCCATTTTAAACTCAATTTAAAATGTACTAGAATTGGCTAGTATCAATAGGATACAACTTGGAAATCCCACTGCCATAGGCTAGACTGAAAAATGGGGGAAAAAATCAGAAGAAGCAGGCTGTACTTGCACAACAGACAAACCGTGGTTAAGTGAACTGTGGTTTATTCAATAACCCTATACAAACCATGTCCATATTGTTGTCAAGAAAACCTAAATGGATGTATCCATGAAGGAATCTAGGCTAATCTGAAAGGATTTTTACTAGCTTTAACTCTTTTAAGATTTCATTTCATTTCACTTAAATTTCATTTAATTATGCTTCTTTTAATCGGACCTCTTTGATATCATTAATGAAGTGTGGCATTTAAAAACGATTTGAAAAAAATCATTCAACCCACCACATATACAGTACAGTATACTCTTCCTAATGTTTGTTACTCTGAATGGATTAATACAAACACACACCGTGAGACCTATTGGTGACTGGGGGGATACTGATAGCATTATTCCTGCTTGATGAATCCTACGTTTTAAAACTACGAATATATGCATACATTTCTAAAGCCTTGGTGGCAGAAAACCCTTAAAAGCGTTGGGCATGTCTGCATCGCCGTGGTTCAGACGTTCACAGCCAGATCGGGCGGCGTACTCGAGAGCGGGCGCGCGCGTGAGGGAGATCAACTGCTCCTCCGGATGACTCGATCTGGAAATGAACACCGCGATCCTGTGTGGGGTGTGTCGGCGCTGAGAATGAACACGGGTTAAGTCTGTGAGTGGATCCTGCTCCGAAGACCCCCGTTCATTCATCCCGACCTCAAGCAGCCCCGCTGTCGTCGGGGAGCGGGTGAGTCAATCCGGAGTCTTTCCTCCGAAGGGAAAACAAGGGCGGGCGTGCTGGAGCCGAAGGCCCCGAGAGGCTGGGGGCGGCGT